ATATTACAATTGCGAAAGGGAGAAATAAGAGGGATATTTTGTTTACTAATATTATTACAACATGGCATTTTGGAGGCCTTTTGAAACGGAACAAAACGAAATTTACCATCAATATAATAAAATTGTTTGAGGACATAAATAATTAAAATATGTTTTTGGCCAAATGAACATATAATAGAAATTTTCTACGCATTGTATACAAATTATTATAATTTTTTAACTTTAGCAGAAAACTTTTTTAGAGACGCCTATGAAACTCATTAAATTTTATTGCTAGGCGTTTTTATGCATGTTCAACTGACTTGGGAAAGACTATAATTATTAATTTTTAGTCCTAAGTACATATTTCTTAAATTTCCAATTTTTTCTATTTTGTTTGTTATTTTCTCTTTTAACGGTTGTCTAGTCGCAAAACGAAATGCATTGAAATTTGTATATGCAAATATCTCGATAACCAAGGAAGATATCGAAAACGAACAAATGTAACATTTTTATGTACACAATGCCAGTAATCCTAAAGCCAAAAAAAATTCCCCTATTTATCAAAGGAGTAAGGCATAACTGACGCCCTAAACAAGCAAAGCCAAAATTAGTTAAAAATTCTTATTTATCATGTCAAAAAACGTAATAGTGCCAATTTTTTTGTTCACATTCTGACAGTTTTCAGAATTATTGAGAAATTTCAAAATAAAATTCAAACATTGAACGCCCTGTATCTTTGAAACCAACAACAATTGTATAACGCATATTTGGCTCAATCGACTTATTTTGGCCACCAGTATCTTCAGCTTCGAGATTTCCCAATCTTTCTCACACACCCTATATATCAAATAAATAAAAATTTAACCTAACTTTATTAATTTAACTTAATTGTCTGAAGAATTTTATCAGTGTAAATAAAGTTAGGTTAGGTGAGGTTAAATTTTCTTTTATATTTGTTTGTTACGTTAAACTATAAAAATAAATTGCCGATCAAATATAGATAACAGTTACATCAGTATCAATGTTTTTATTTATTTTTGTGAAGTGCATCATTTTAATCGTTCTGCTACCCGTAGAATAAATTTGCGGTACTTAGTAACGTTATTTCAGATGACGACAGAGAGGAAGAAATTCGAGAGGATAACGACGTACTGATATCACGAAATGGAAAGTATAAATGGATATATAAATATGTATGTATAAACAAGGGCATCGCCAGCCGATGGACTTGGGGGGGGGGGGGG